TTTTAACAAGAAAAAGACAGTACAAAGGTACTGCATCTGTTAAGGAATGGGGTGATTGTTAAAAAAAATTACCGAAGGAAACGCGAGAAATTCACGGTTAATTATCTGCGCTGACGTCACAAAAATCCAAAAAACACGCGTGGTTCGAGGTCGTATGAGCAAAATACGCGCGCGAGCCATCACGCTCGCATGCGCATAACGCACATAGCTGAAAACATGTGATTTCTTCGACAAGTACGGAAGCCATTGCTAAAGCTGTTTATCACTATTATTACGGTGATATCTTGGCTGCTGAAAAAGGAGAGATAGCGGATTCAATTTTATACCAAACACTGGATGTTTTCTTCGAAATACTTAACCATTGTAGCCAAAATTCGAGCCGTGGTGATCACTACTCGTGCGGATGGCGATCATCGGAGAAGAAGACGGTGGTTTTGCAAGGATCGCGATAAGGCCTTCATTTCCTAATCTGCTATACCGACTGTTTGCAGATCTTCAAATGCCAGCCCACTTCCGGATACTTTTCAACCTTGTCCCCCTTAGGGATAATTTCGACGGCGAAGTTTTCTTTAAAAGCCTGCTGTAAAAGATGGCGCCGATCTAAAAAAAGTACATCACGTCCTCAGCTGCACGTACAAGATCGTAGTTCTCGACGGATAACCTACTATTGCTTTCGTCAAGGGTCAATCTGTGACTCAAAAATTATTTTTCAGTGTGCAACAACATTTTCTAGTGCATCTTGTGCGTTAAAGAACTTTTGAAAAGGAAAAAGTACAAGGATGTTGGTTGGTTGATGGGAAGGTTCCTTCGATCAGGAACCTTTTCTCTGATAAGTTTTTTAAACAATGTGATAGAGTCGGCAAAACCAAAAAAAATTTACACTTGCTGTAATCTTGCCTTAAAGCCACTTCTAGAATTTCTTAATCAAATTAAATGTAACAGAAATGAAGTGACCGAGGAGCACTGCCGGTGAAGACATTCTTCAGTGGTTGTTCGGGACTTGGCTCGATCTTTCAGATCTTTCCACTGACCGTGAACCAAAGGCCAGAAACAGCAACATTGCTTCCTTTAGGGTTAGTGTACTTATTTCTTTGTTTTCTTTGTAAAGTTTCCATTCACCATTTACTTCGACTATTTTACGTTTGTCTACTTTTGAAGCGAACGAACTGATGTGTTTGGAAAATTTCTGCTTCGTTTTTACATACAATTTACTCTTATGGAGATCGATAGTGACTTGTAACCGGTGTAATTTAACATTGTCTCCTCTTTAAATGTTTGACCTACACTAACCAAACTTTTTGCACAATGAGCTTCAACAGAAAGTGAATAAAGTTTTTGGGGTGAATACTTTGAAACTGAGAGGCCAGGTTTGTTTTATTTTTGCGTGGACGTCGCGCCGATTTTAAAGCTCGCGCCATACTAGTGCTCAGACTGCGCACGGCCAATTTACTCTAGGGAGCCACCTTAAGAGCCATAATGGCTCTTGATCACCGTAGATCAATTAGTGGAAAAAAAAAATCAGGCCAACTTTTTTGCGTTCGACAAGTTTACTTTGCAAAATCTTGTCAACAAATCTGGGTGCGTGTAAACCGAACTTTTATACCATTTATACATCACATCTGAGGTGAAACAGCAGTATGAGGCACTGTTTTTATCATACCGGCAGACCTCGGACAGAAAGCAGTATTTCACAATACAAATTGCACTCATTCAATATTCATAAACTGTTAAAAATTTCCAAAATCACCTATACGGCCATCCGGTTCTCACTTTTGTAGTGCGAGTTGTGGCGAGTGTTTGAATGAACATTAACAGAGTTACGCTCCAACATTATAAAGAATTTATTCTGTTTATTTTTTATTTAATGGTTTATTAACGCGCGGCATTTTGAGTAAGCGATGTTCACTGAACGACTGAAAACAATCGGCACAGCTATTAAAATTGCAAGAGAGACTACTAACAATCAATAAAAGAAACATAATTCTGTGAAACATATACAGAAACAACAATTTTCATTCAGGAAGACAAGTATTAAAGTATCCCTAAAAATCCTGAGTCTTCAAGCTTCAAGCTTAAGTTTATGTTTTAAGCCGGCTTCCCGGTGTTTGCTTTTTTCAAAGACGAACTCGAGGCAAGAAAATCGCTCAAAGCTTTCTTTTTCCGGCCAGAATTATAACTAAATATTCTTTGGAACGTTTTCTTTCTATTTGCGGTGAGAAACTGTCTAAAGGCTTTTTAAAGTTCTGTAAGCTTATATCAAACCTGATACTCGGTCAGATCATTGTCTCAAATCTTACAAACGTGCATAAACTAAATGACCGCATAAACTCCGCTCGACTTCATTAAATTAGATCCAAAAAAACAAACATCAAATACAATAATTTCTCTGGCTAACCATTCGAGATGCAGCTCCTGAAAGGTATCAAGAAAAGCCAGTATCGATTCAGACTTTGCAATCCTCTTACGCATCAAGCAAGGTGAAAACGAAAACGATGCCATCCGAAATCGGATTTCCGACTGTGACAAGCGACGTATTCCTCAACCAAAAACCCAATAAACAAACTAGCCATGAATAACAGAGGACTCCTGATAGCAGCTGAATTTCATTTTGCACATCCAGTGGAAAAAGACAGTTAAAAACATCACAAGTTGACACAAAACTCTGTCAGCTTCAGCTGTCAAAGTAAACAAGATTCAAGATGCTGCATAAATTTTCCGCATGAACTCACCTGTCAAATTTTGACCAATCAGAGCATAGAAATTGGACGTAGAGCGTGACCAACGCGTGACCATGGTGAGAAAAGTCAAAAGCAACTGTCTTCCCTGCCTGTAACAGCTGGCTGAATTTTCGTGTCCGAGGTTAGTTTGCAAACAAAATTTTACTTGTGTAGCACATAAACACAACATATTTCATATGAATTTAGAAAAAACTTGAACTTGAGCCTGCGATCACTTGAAAACTAGTAACTTGTCAGCGGAGAACTTCAAAAAAATACTTGACCTCGATGGGTCGACACCTGAGCCCCCGATACGGTCAAGTGATACTGGTCAGCGGGTACCCTGTTTTGACAGCTGTCAATTGATCAAAACATTGATGTCCAATATGTGTGCATTATCAGTTTAACAAGTAAAAGTATGAGATTGAACATTGTTCACGATCTAGTAAAACAATTAACTGGTCAGCGGACAGCTTCCAAATAAATCACCTCACCTCGATGAGTTGACACATGAGCCCGCGATATGGTCATGGGATACTGGTCAGTGGCTATCCTGTTTTGACAGCTGTCAATTGACCATATTGTAGGAATGTCCTAAAATCTTTTATTAAAGATGTGGACTTGCCAAGACACGCCTGAGACACCCCTCCCTTCCTTTTGATAGTGTCCCCTACCCCACCAGTACAATCTGTAGACGCGTACGTACGTACGTTTGGTCAATCACGTGACAACTAAACGAAAAGAGGTTGACCATATTCCATGGGTATGGGGCTCTGTCCCACGCGCGCTTCGGGCGCGCGGGAGCCCCGCTATTACAGTAAGTTAAGTAAGGGTAAAACATTTTTGCAATGTATGTATGTATATATTTTGATTTTTTTAACGAAACGCGCGTTGGATTTTGCTGCTAAACTTAATTCCGGGGATATTCAAAATTGTAATTGTTTTTAGGTACCCTCGTATGGTCTGTTCTCATCTTCTCGCAAAGCAGTAGGGAGCTTTAGCAACGACGACGGCGACGGTAACGACAACGGCAAAAAAGCAATGAGTTTAATTATCAAAACAACATCTTTGCACGTGCATCATGCTTTTTTGTATATTTTTTTGCCATCACTGCACGACCACAGGGTGAAAATGCCTAATTTCACGTTTTATGGAGAACGTAGACAGGGAACGACGAATGTTTCTTTCCCTTCCTAAACTTGAGTACGGGTCCCCAAGAAATCAACTCCAGGGACACTCGCCCACATTTCACATTTTCAGTGAATTGAAATAAACGCTTCAAAGTTTGAAAAAACGCTAATTCATTTTAAAAGTGACGTTTTCGCTGCCGTAGCCGTCCTCGATGCTTAAGCTCCCTAGTATATTTCCCGCGCCAACAGCGACCATGCAGTGTTCACAGATTGACATGGTCGTCTCAGTCTGCGTTCTCAGCTGGTCGACAATTATGTATCTTTTACGAGTTGAATTCAAGTACACGGTAAAGGGCCAAGGAATTATAACGTGCAACCGCGAATGGTGGGAGGAGGTGCGGGGGGGGGGGGTTGGGTGGGGTGGTGGTTTGGGGGAGAAGTTGCTACAAGACAGTCCTTTCTGAACCGAAGTTTGGACCCCCCTCTCAATAAAAATTCCTGGATCAGCCGCTAAAAAAGCATGTGTTGCCGTTGCAATAACTGTATGGTATTTTGAAAGGAGGTAAATTTACATGTTCAGTAGACTACGAGCAGTCTCTAATTAAATTTCTCTGCAAAGTTACTCCACAAACTCCACGAGTAATCCATGCACGCAAGCCGCAGTCAACGAGGGCGTACGCCTGAGAAGAAAAAATAAGAGATCGTCTATTCTCGTCTCTTCCTATAAATCACTTATTGTGACGTCGTTATTTGCAATCGCGCTGGCTGGGATAAGAACTTAACGGATTTTAAGGGCAAAGGTGGACTGTAAGCAGTCTACATGTACAGCCGTGAAACCTTTATTAACCGACAACTCCTTCCTGTAGCATTTTTAACATCCCTTAAGCAGACACGTTTCCTGGGCCCTTTGCAAAGGTATTTTTTATAACTTTCAAGAGTTCTGCTGTCACTATACTTCTTAAATGCCCGGTCCTGAAACCAATACGACAAGAAAATCTTTTGTTGTTGTTGTTGTTTCCTCTTTTTAGCTGCAGGTATACTGATAACGGTATAAGATAAGATACGATATAACAAGATAAAACAATAGTTGTATAACGAGCTACTTTACTTAACATTTAAGCTAGCGTACTTGCTGAGTTGCATAATATGTCATCTATATCAATGTTATGGTCACCTGGCCATGCCCAGCTGTATTATAACAGCATTCATTCTGCTGATTCTTTCCAGTGTTGTAAGATCCTCCCCCTCCTCCACAGGAGTCATTCTCATTATTCCCACTACTTCCCCCAGAGTAGCCTCCTCCACCTCCAGCACCTCCTCCGTTTAGACTTCCATATGCACCTCCTCCTCCTCCAAATCCTCCTGCAGCATTGTTATACCGGGCTCTTCCACCCACTCCTCCCTGAAGAAATCCTTTGCCTCCTTCTCCGCCATATCCCATTGAGCCTCCGAAGTGCCTTGAGCCTCTTCCACTGGAGAAGAACCCACCACCGCCTCCCCCTAAAATATAAATAACATTAAATAACTCTTCACTTACCGGTAACATGTGCAGGTGGATTTCTTGAGGCTTTTTTAATTTCAAAAATAGCAATATGAATGTATTGAAACAGGAAGATTTATCACTGTAAACCACTGAAATCTTAGGAAACCGGATTTCTTCTGAATGAAGTTTGGGCCTCAAGGTTAGTTATCTTCTAAATATTAATTTGTCAACTATAAAGGCAACCACCACCCATTTTGTCTCGTACCAGTTTTCACCTTTTTTGGCGGTTTTAACGCTTCAAAGTAGAGAGAACGAAGCCACGACGATAACAACACTTTCGTCATTAACGGTTACCATGGCAACGAATCCCAACGCGTATCCCATCCCCGTATTTCATTGAAAATCACTTGAAAGTAAGCCAGTGAACTCTATTTTTTTACGATATTTAGTCTGGCATTAGAAAAGAAAAAAAATAACAATGATTTTAAAAAATTCTTTGAAACGGATCTTTTGTAAAAAGGGAAAATAGGACATTTGTGAGCAGTGAGTTTTCCTTCGTAGAATCATTTATTTTTTTCTGTGTCGTTTCCTCTTAACTCTAGTAAAATATCAAGGCAAAAAATAAAGGGGGTCGCCGGATTTCTTTTAAAATGCTTGGAAGTTTTAAAAAGTCCCACTCGCGTTTCCGTGTTTGCGAAATCTGAACTCTGTAAGATCGCGGGTTACTCATGCGCTTCTGTCTTGACTACCTCTGATTACGGGCCTCTTGCGATTTTTGTTACAGTCCTTGCAGAGGAGAGAAAATTACACGCTTGCATATTAGTGCGTTTTTATAAGGTTCAGTAATCTCGTTTGGTAGCCTGAAAATATAGCCACCTGGACTCACGTTTCAACATAAGCAAAAAAGCGAAGTGGCATATAGACGAAATTGTTTGCAGGAGACTCATCTCGGCTTTACGTTTTTCGAGTCAGTTTCCTGAAAACAAACATGGCAGCCGCGAGCTTCCACCCGCGAATTTTAAGTCCCAATATATGGGAAGATGGGTAACGTGAAACTGTTAACCGCAGTTATATGACCAAACCTCGATTTAAGGTCCCTAATAACATTTTTAGTCTTTGATATTTCCCAAAGTTTAGTCCATGGATGAGTTAAACCTCTAAATTGAAGAAGTTTGGTGAAGTTAGATTCTAAGGTTAGCATAGATTGCCACGGTCGTGGTGGCGTTACTCAACTTGTCACACACCTAGCTTACCTGAGCCACTATTGTCAGCAATCGTTGCTCCGTGTCCACCGCTCCCTCCTGACCATGACCTATACCCAGCATTCCCTGCTGTGCTTGCGGAAGCATCGCATCCTAAATGTCTTGATACAGCAGTTTCTAAGCCACCCCCTCCTCCAGCTACTATTAAAGGCATGTTACTTCCTCTTACTACAAACGTACCTCCTCCACCTCCTGAGCTTGTTGCCTTAAGGGTAACACTCCCCTCTTGACCAACGAGTATCTTAATTGTTTCTCCTTTGGATAAGCGAAAAGTTCCTCTTAACCTGGCACCTCTGCCGCGATACTGGTCATTGCTTCTTAAGCCATATCCCCCTGTAGCTCCTATTGTCTCTATTCTGTAGTCACCTGTGTATGGTACAGTCCATTGTTGAATACCGCTCAGCAATGTAACTTGCCCGTCATGAACCTGACCACTGTAGTAACTACCAAGAGAAGTTGAACCGAGTCTTCCACTCGCACCGAGGTTTGTAAATACAGCTCTGAATTCTGCCCAGTAAAGCAAATCGCCAAATATTGTACTCGGATTTCAAAAAAATTACCTGAAGTTGCTTGAACGACTGAAGAAACGATCAATTTCTAAACAGGTGCTTTCAATAAGTATAAAAAATCCATGTACTGTTTCCACTACCGCGATCTTAGCTCTACATTTCTTTACCTTGTAAATTAAGAATTTATTTATTCTTGACATGCATGTATGCACTTTTATAATCTCTTCAGTTTCCGATTTCTATATGCCTACTCTCCCTTCTTTTTTTGAGTGATCGAATTATTGATTGATTGATTGATTGATTGATTGAAACTTCGCGCCAAAATTAAAGCATTTTCAATTGTCACCTATGATATTATGACCAAACTAAGCCACACACATTATATTTTTGTATACCTAGAATTAGAAGTCCGTCGCACAGGTTTATTGTGGTTAAATTGATTTACTTACCTCTTACATTTAAAATTGTCCTTGTCTCGATGCGATAGAAATTTAACAAATTTGCTTCGCAGACATAATTGCCAGAATCAGATTTCTTCAGGTTGTGAATCGTTAGGGTTCCGTTTTGGACTCTCATTCGGCCTTCCTCCCAGGTTCCTCCGATGCGTCTCCACGAAATTGACGCTTGCTCAGTCGCGAAACAGTCGAGCGAAAAGTCTCCCCCAGGGGTTTTAACAGCACTTCTTGGGGGTTTCGTGATGAACTTTGGCGGTGGCAACACGACTAATGTCGTAGTTGCAGACGCCTCTCCTAAACGGTTTGTAGCTTTACATGCATATAAACCAGAGTCACTTCTTATTGTGTTACGTAAAGTCATAAATTCCTTAGACAAGGTGACCCTGTTCTTTGGTAAAACACCCGTAAACTTTGTCCATGTCACAGTCGGAGACGGGAAACCTGTCACGTGACATCGAGGAAGCCTGATGTTCTGTCCTGTTTTAGCGCGAATGGGACCTGGGGATAGTCTTACACGAGGGGGGGCTGGAAAAAAATAGATACCACATCAAATGCGTCCCTATACTTGAGCAACTGATTGTTGCTTAAGATAAGTGTTTTATCTTGCTGTTAGAGCAAGGCCTCAGTTGGTATGCGAACCAAGCTTCAGGTTTATAAAGGTGAGAAGAGAAACATATTTACAACTTCAGAGTGTATGTGGTAGGGTTCAGGGTAGTCTTACTATACGCAAAAAAATTTGGTTGCCAAATAAACACTATTGGCTGTACCTCGTATATAACAATGAGCCTTTCTGTAAACATTCTAAGTTATGCTTGTAGCTAAAAATTAGTCAAGACCAGAAATAAAAACGACATGTTCCTGAAGGAATCCCTGATCCACCTAATGTAAAGATCCTGATAAGTAGCTAGGCAACACTCGCTCAACCGTTATGGAGCTTTTATATCTTGCTAAACCCCTAAATAAAAAGTCTCTATTACGAAAGACCCTTAGAAAAGGGGAAATTATCAAAGATAGATGAAAGACAATTGAAACATATAAAGCGATGATAAACACTGGTGATCTTTCGCGTTTTTATATCAACTTGGCTTTTCGTATGTTACTCAACATACACTGTCATTGTTAAAGTCTTGAATAAGCACTGTTTCCTTTATTTTACCTGACGACGCATTCAATGATCCCACGCTATATTGTTTCTACAAGCGTACGAAACGTCGGGTTTTTCATGCGAAAGTTCACAATGTCTATCTCCACTTTTTGTGTTATATTTTTGATTGAGCTACGATGGCCCTGGAACATAAAAAAAAAAGTCTTCGTGAAGACAATTTTTCAGTGGTTCCTTAAATGAAGAAAAAACAAATGAGTGAATCACGAGTATCAAATAATCACAAAGCCAAAATTTAACCAGTAAAGAGGTAATGTAGCTTACCTTCAACAGTCAGTGAGACTGATTGGTTAGCTGAACCTAGCATATTTGTTGCTGCACAAATGTATCTACCAGTGTCTGCAAGAGTCACGTGACGTACCATCAAGACTCCACGGGGGTTAAGCTGAACACGATCCGACCAAAGGGAGCCGGTGGGCTCTATCCACTTTACAGTCGGTGACGGGTTTCCGGTCGCAGAACACTGAAATACGGCATTTTGGTTTTCTCTGACAGTTAATTCCTTGGGTGAGATTACAACCGTTGGCATTGAAATTGATTCTCCAGGTTCTCCCTTAGCCCCCGGAAAACCCCTGGGACCCGGATTCCCCTTGATACCAGGCTCTCCTTTCTGACCGGGTGGACCGGTGGGTCCTTGCTTCCCGTGTGGCCCGGGATGCCCTGTGTCACCACGTGCACCGTTTCTTCCCGTGGCTCCGCGCGGACCTCTTTTGCCACGTGATCCCTTAGGACCTTGCCTCCCGGGTGGACCTTGAACGCACATTTTTTCGTTTGGTGAACAAAATGCGTGTGGTGTCAGCGAGTGTAAAGTCTTGTTTATCTCACTTCTGATCTGTTCAATGGTGAGCTTTTGATTTTCGGGTGTGGAGCTGGCAAAACGACGGACCCTCAAACTTGGAAGTTGAACTAGCAATAAAATAACACAGAAGAGTAGAGAAGTGTGACGTCACAAAAAGTCAAATTTGTAAAATTGTAGGATATGTTTGCATATCCAGAACGAATAAGATCTGCATCGTAACGATATGATCCAGGCCTATTTTAGAAGGATTTATATGGAGTCATCGGAACATAAGGTCCATGATAACAGTGCTTATACAGTTTTTTATATCTCCCCGCCAATTTGCACTAACAGGCTGATTTTTAGTAAGTGTAAATATTTCATCTTGTTCTTTCTGGATATGCCAGCCTATCCCATAATTTCACAAATTTAGTTTTTGTGACGTCAGCAATTCTCTTCTCTATACCTACTGTTCATCGCTGAAAGTACTGGGAGTGACGACATGATGCATTGACCTGAGCGAGCTTTCCTTTTAGTTGGCCAATACGTATATGTGTCGCTAAAAAGGGTACGGTTTTCAGGCTCTTGTGTCTTAAACAGGGGATACAATTTCAATATTTAGCGTCTTAAACAGTGTGTCTTTTTTACACCGGAAGCCTTTAAAAGAGTGTAAAGGTTCATTTTAAAAGCTTTACATATGTGGTACGAAACCTCTTTCCAAAAAAAATACAATCCCATGCCGAGTTTCAGATTAAACAATTTCTGTAAAAAAAAGGCCAAGTGTGACCACAGCCAATATAAGATCTCTTGGGGGTCTGAAGTGGGGTATGTACCTCGTTAACACTAAACACTTAATTTTTTGGCTTTGTAACATGAAACAGTTAAATTTTATAGGCATTTTAATACTAACAATAAAAGATTCTTTGAAACAGCATTTTTTTTCCAGAAAGAAGCAAAAACGGCTCCAATAAGGCCAATATTGTTTTGTTTAGTATATCAAGCTGAGTTTTTGGCCATGTTAAGACAATTTCGGATTATTGCAGAAAATTTCCGAAGGCTACCGAGGATTCTCAAAGACTGACGAAGATTTCCGAAGACTGGGTCCGACCATTGCCGAAGATGCCCGAAGAAGCCTCCAAACAGTTAACAGTACTTTCTTCCGAAACAGCAAACATTAAAAAAAAATTGGCTGATTTAACAAGAAACACTAAAAATTATGGGCAATTAAAACTAAACATTAAACCCAATTCAGACCCTCTTAAAAGGCTAAAGCGTGTCCTTGCATGAAAAAGGTCTATTTTTGTTATAGCAATATTTTGGCGTTAAAACTCTTTCCTGTCTTCTGTTGCTACGGATAGCAATGATGGACAATGGGTTTCATTTTTTCAAGTCACTAAAAACTTAATTTCCCCTTATCAATTTTGTTTTCTCTACTGGAGACTTTTTTACGCTCATTTATATTCAGCCTTTCTCATACTCATGTATGACTGAGTATTGCTTGTTACGTATTAAGATCGTTGACGGAAAAACATGGAAAAATAGTGAATACATAACTAAAAATCACGCCACGGAGGGTTAAACATTAATTTCAGATTTTCAAGAACTGAAACTGCATGCCTGGGAAAAGTGTGTTGACAAAATCCCAAGTCAAGCAATAAATGGTGGCCATTTCACAATCATGAATGAGAAAACAATGAAAAGGTCTCTCTTTATCTAAGTAAAGAGGCTTTTATATTCCCTGAATATTCTACTTCCTGATCTCAGAGACCCTTCATAATGGAAAGCGCAGAATCCGTGAGCCCAAAAATTAAACATTTCACATTTTTGTAACTCAAGATTATTGTCATATCTAGACAGCGAGCAGTCTCTTATTTTTTTTTTGCAAAGTTTCTGCACGCGCGCGAAACCCAAGGACACGGGCGGCAAAGCTGCAAGCCGCGAGAAACGAGGGCGTCCCGAGAGGATAAAAATAAGAGAATCGGTCTGGTCTCAATCCCTTACTGTAATAATAACGTCGGGGTTTGCAATCGCGATGGATGAGATAAGAACTAGACGGATTTTAAGAGAAAATGCGGACTTCAAGCAGTCGAATTCATATCCTACACGTATATTTTGTCGGCTTGCCTAAAACCTGGAATACAAAAAAGCAAAACAAAACAAAACAAAACAAAACAAAAATAAAACAAACGCGCGTAGACGAATGCCAATCGAGTAACTCTGAAGTTAGTGATTTAGGGTTAGGAAACTAAGTGAATTAAGTTTCAGGTCAGTTTGCCTATTTTAATGACCCTAAATGGGGAACCTGATTCACTCAGTTTCCTAACCGTTATCACTAAATCACTAAATTAAAGTAAAACTTCAGAGTCATTCAGTGTTCGGCGTGGTTTTTTCCCCCGGAGGAGGGGGGGGTGGTACTTTAGAAATTTCTGGGTGGGGATGTGCCGACCTTGGAACCCTTAACCTATACAAGAGTTAGTTCAGCTGAATTTTGCTACCCTATACTAGAGTAAACTCCCCAAATCCCTCCTATCCTAGAGTAGCTGTTTCCAGAAACTTACTGAGGTCACTAGCACAGTCTAGCCCAAACAAAACCTTATACCACAATCTCTAGTTTAGATAAAATCTTCAACCAACTGATCAGTTTCCTGAAAAATGATACCCTATTTTAGACCCAAACGCTCTCATTTATATACCCTATCCTAGAGTAAACTGCATCAGATGAGTGAAACAAGCTCTATAGAAACAAAACGAAATAGAAAACAATACTGTACTGTGAAACTAATCAAATACGTTCGTCGAATCACGTTCTTTAATGTAAAAATCGAAAAATCTGTGGGTGGCAATCTTTCGCATTTCCGGCGTCTGGTATGTTGGGTGGTGGAATTTAATTACAAGTGTCCGTTTAATACAGGTGGTCAACAATAGAAATGACCATTTCAGGTACTTTTTAGGTGTCCGCGTCCGCTTAATACAGATGACCGCTTAATAAAGGTTTTATGTAAAGTAAATAAGGGAAATAAATTTGGGGACTTCGGTTACGGTCCGCTTAATAGAGGGTCTCCGCTTAATACGGTGTCCGCTTAATACAGATTTCACTGTACCTATATAGCCCATATATGGCAATACCCCCGGGGTTCCGCCCTATTCCGGATTGTTCTCAATCGGCAAAACGGTCAATATCCAAAGGGGTCTTCACACAGAGCAATAGATTTCTCTTTTTAATTTCACGTTAGAATGAACAGCAAAGTGTATTCCTTCGTCTCACACGTGTCAAAATGCGCCCGCGATACAACCAAGCGGCAAATTGGCGAAAATCACCTAGACAACTAGTTAATCATTGAACGGCTAAATAATTACAATTTTTCGATTCTTAACATCCCCCTCCCGAATGCAATTGATGCATTCTCTGACTAATAACATGCATAAAACTCTAAAGTCCACGGGGGGGGCATGACCACTGTCATAGACTGTTTCTCAATAACGATCAAAGTTCAATTCATCTTTTCCAATCAATGTTTCAATCAAAAATTCTAGGTAACAAAACATCAACGACTGTCACTTTCACGATCATCCACAGGTCCGGTATCACAGTCGAACGTTTAATGACTCTCACTCCTCAGCACTGTCTTCTACATACTCCAGTGGACACAGGCGATGGACAGGACGCAAGTATGCCTTGTTCTTTGCCTGGACTTTTACAACTCTCACTAGACCATCATTACCAGGGTATGCTTCAATCACATGGCAGAGAGGCCACTCTCCTCTGCTGGCGTTTGGCTCTACAATCAGCACAACATCACCTTCTTTCAGGTTGTGTCTTGGATGAAACCATTTCTTTCTGACATTAAGGCTGGGCAGGAACTCCTTTCTCCAACGTTTCCAGAACTTTCCTAGAAGCTGTTGCACACGGTGCCACCATTTCTTGGGGTTGTAGGTTTGCTTGTGGTCAAGTGCCTCAGGCAAATGGTCCTCCAATCTCTCCAGCAAGGAAGTGGCTTGGAGTGAGTGGCGAAAGGTCATTGGGATCCAAGCTGACATAAGTTATTGGTTGGGAATTCAACAATCGTTCCGCGCCACAGATTGCTGTGTGAAGCTCTTCGTCGGTAACATCTGCGTCTCCAAGGACAGCTTTGATTGCTTTCTTTGCACTCCTGATCAGTGCCTCAAATACAGCACCAAAATAGGGGGCACACCGAGGGTTAAACTTCCAGTCAATTGGGTGATATTTGCGGGTTTCTTGCGTGATTCTGTCGGTGTCAAGGGCCTCCACCAACTCTCGAAGTTCGCGCTCTGCTCCAACGAAGTTGGTTCCATTATCAGAGATAACATAGGTTGGTGCCCCCCTCCTTGACGTCATCCGGGTAAATGCGTTAATAAACGAGTCAGTGTGTAATGAGTAGGCCATTTGCAAATGCACAGCTCGGGTTGTAAGGCAAGTGAAAAGACACAGGTAACGTTTGGCTCTTGTCCTACCACGCCCTTGCTTTGTCAAGAATGGACCTCCATAATCGACACCAACTTTTTCAAAAGCCCTTAGTGAAGACTGCAATCTCGTTTTGGGTAACGGGGCCATCATCTGATGGCCTATCTTCATGGTGAAACGACGTCGACATTCAGCACAAGCCTCGGTTACGTTTCGTACCATGCGCCTTCCTTTTACAATCCAGAAGCGGCTTCTTAACTCAGTTAGAACTTGCTCTACTCCAGCCCCATGGCCGAGTCTTTCATGGGCGTCAGTGAGAACAAGTCTTGTTAAAGGGTGGTCCTTTGGTAGTAGGATAGGGTGTCTTGTGTCATATGGAAGCTCATCTGCAAAACGGAAGCGTCCATCCATAAGTAACCCATCACCACCACCCTTAGGGTTCAATTGAGTCAGCGACCCTTCGCTTTCTCCACCAGGGAAGGCTTGGGTTTGGGCTTGGGCTTGCTTAATCCAGAACGTCTCTGCTTCTGATATCTCGGTTGGCAGGAGGATTCGATCCTTTCTTCGTAAATTCATTGGAAGCCTGCAGTTGGTCAGGAATCGCTGAACCCATCCTGTCACATGAACCAGACGCTTGAGGCTTGAGAATCTGTTTGGGTCAATGATCACACTGGCATGGCTCTTG